ACCTCCACCCCCCACCCCCGTCCTGTCGGGAGCCCGGAGCCCAGGGTGTGAGTGAGCTCCCTGAGGAACGGAGTCCAGCTGGGGATGAGGGGAGTCCTCGCAGGGGGCGCAGGCCCACTCCTGGCCCGTCACCACCACCGCCTCCCGGGACATGGCCTGAAGCCGTCTTCGATCCCTGGCAAACCCGGGGCCTGAGAGAACCGGCCGTCGGCACGGCCCAACTCCCAGCCGGCTCTGATCTTGCAAGGCCACCTCTGGCCACAGGCATGTCCATCCCAGACAGCGAGGAGCCCTCAGGCAGGCTGGCTGCACATTCCTCTGCCGCCTGGACAGGCCGTCCTCCGGCTCCGAGACAACAGCCCGACACTCTCCCACCCCCACACTCACTGTGGGGGAGCTGCATCAGAGTCTCCAGCAGCGCTTCCCGTAGATGAGTCCTGAGTGACTGATGGTGTGAAGCGTGGTGTCCTCAGGGTCTGGTGACACAGGCGTGGGCAGGAGAGGAACATGTAGGTTATGTAGACCGACCGCTAGGAAATGGCAATGCTTACAGTTTTAAAACGCTTTTTTATAGTAATTTTCAAATAACACAAAATTCTCATGAGTGTGGTGCAGATCCATAGCCACCTAATGTTTCCTCTCTCACAGAGTGACGGGCGGGGAACTGTTTGAGGACATCGTGGCGAGAGAGTACTACAGCGAGGCCGACGCCAGGTGAGTGAGCGCCACTGCACCTCCCGCTCTGCAGCGCCCGCGCGGCCTGGACTCAGCTCCATCCGGACTCCCGTGAGGACACCCCTCACTGGTGGTTTTCTCTGCGGGATTTCCAAGACGACTCCCTGGAAAAAAAACCTACGAGTCTGGTCTAAACTTTATTTTTATCTAGTGCCTGTAGTTAGAGTGTGCATTTTGTTTTTATGTTCTTTACTAATTAAGACATTTTATTTATTTATTTATTTTAAATATATTTTATTGATTTTTTACAGAGAGGAAGGGAGAGAGATAGAGAGTTAGAAACATCGATGAGAGAGAAACATCGATCAGCTGCCTCCTGCACATCTCCCACCGGGGATGTGCCCGCAACCCAGGTACATGCCCTTGACCGGAATCGAACCTGGGACCTTTCCGTCTGCAGGCCGACGCTCTATCCACTGAGCCAAACCGGTTTCGGCAAGACATTTTATTTTTTAAAGCCTCACTAGAATGGCTTCTGCTAAAGAAATACACTTTTTTAGCAGATGTGAGAGATGGAAGATTGACACCCACTGGTCTCCAGTCCCGGCTCCCAGTGTGCCTAGTCACTTACGACTCTTGGACTTCTGTTTCAGTTCATTAAAATTAAGTAAAATTAAAAGCTCAGTCCCTGGGTCGCACCGGCCACATCTCAGGGGCCAGGGGCTATGATGGGCAGCAGGTCCGAGCACCGGCCTCCGGGCCTTGGAGCGGCCCAGAGTCACCCGGAGGCCGGTCCCGGTCAGCTGGGAGCCCTTACGGCCCTGGGACCCACATTAGAAAACACTCGTCCAGGAATTCCAGAGGGTTCCGAGGCCTTTCCGATCTCGTCACTGACAGATTTGTACAGAAGTTGAAAGTGGCTCCCATTTTGTCTCACTTGAAAGTGCCAGGCTGCCCAGAGGTGACGCCATGAGCAGCAGCCGCTCGCTTAGGCCGGCGGATCGCAGGCCCCTCGCCCGGCACCCAGGGCCTGGCCA